CTGCTGATAGATACTAAGTGGCTCAATCCAATTACTTTAATATAGGTGTTTGAGTCTAATTAAAAGACCTTATAGAGTATCTGAGACATAAGCTTTATAGATATGATATAGCATTCACAGACCCCAGGGCAGCAGCTGGAATCTAGGTGGGTTTGCATGTGCGTCTCAAATATCACTGGAAACTTCTGCTTAGGCAAATATATTGAGGTTATGATCATAGTCCTATAGCACCTCTGATTTGTTTTCTTTCATACTTCCATGAGTAAAAGATCTATAAATTTAGCAATTAAGGTTTTCTGCAGTTGTTGTCCTAAAACACTGATGACCATTGAAGAAATTAGTTAATTTGCTTTTCATATTTCTTTGTTAGTTGTAGATGTAGAGAAAAAAAGAAAGACAGAATGGGTTTTGACTGCTGATCAGCCTCTAAACAAGGTAAAAATAATTGAAACATTGTTAGAGAGATTCCAATAACAATATAATGCAACAATTTCACTAGAGAATTTTCAGAAAGAGAAAATTGAGAAACCTTTCCTCAAGCTCTCCACAATCTTATTTCACCTTGTGCTCTATGTGCTTGGCAGGAATTGGAAATATTCTTTTTACATGGCATACTTGATTTACTGACTACATTAACTCTTTTTTTTTTTTTTTGGCATTCCAGGAAATTCTGTAAAAATAAACAATATTAATTGCCATAACAGTCTACTTATTTTAAAAAATCTGATTCATGTTTAATCAGTTGTTTGTAAATTTTTAAGAAAACGTTTGGTTTTACTCACAACTTTGCATCTGTGTTTGTTTGGTTTAGATTGAAGAGGATACGTGGCAGAAATACTACCTGGAGGGAGTTGCAAATGAAATGTATACAGAATATCTGTCTAGTGCCTTTGTGGGTTTGTCCTTTCCTGCAGTTTGTGAGTAAGTAGAAATACATATTAATATACATAAGTATTTGCTTTCATGGCAAGTGAAATCTAAGGTTTCTGCAAGAGACATTTTCACTCTGCTACAGTCCTAATCACAGAATCTCAGGAGTTGGAAGGGACTTTGAAAGATCATGCAGTCCAACCCCCCTGCCAGAGCAGGATCACCCAGACCAGGTCACACAGGAACGTGTCCAGATTGGTTTTGAATGTGTCCAGAGAAGGAGACTCCACAACCTCTCTGGGCAGCCTGATCCAGTGCTCTGTCATGCCCACAGTGAAAAAGTTTTTCCTCATGTTCAGATTGAACCTCCTATGCTCCAGCTTGCACCCATTGCCCCTTGTCCTGTCATTGGACATCAGAGAGAAGAGCTCCTTCCTCCTGACACTTGCCCTTTACAAATTTATAAACATTAATGAGGTCACCCCTCAATCTCCTCTTCTCCAAGCAAAAGAGACCCAGCTCCCTCATCCTCTCCTCATAAGGGAAATGCTCCACTCCCTCAATCATCGTTGTGGCCCTGCGCTGGACTCTTTCAAGCAACTCCCTGTCCTTCTTGAACTGAGGGGCCCAGAATTGAACACAATATTCCAAATGCGGTCTCAAAATATTACTAACTAACTAAATGTTACTAACTAACTAATGTTACTGCATCAGATGGGATCCAATAAAATAAACATTAAAGCAGTCACTGCATGGAAGTATTCCAAACATTTTAATGCCTGTTTTCAGAAGAGATTTGGAATTAAGTGATTGTAACTGAAAGCATAATTTTTTTCTGTGTTGAACAAATTAATCAACAATCCATTTAAATTGAGTTATTTACTCTTAAGTGCTGTCCTATTGTTTCTTGTAATCATAGAAATGCTTCAAGATACAGAATCATAGAATGGTTTCGGTTGGAAAAGGCCTTTAAGATCATCGAGTCCAATCATTGAAGCAGACCTTCTAAGTCTGCCACTAGACCATGTCACTAAGCATGACATCTACTGATCTATCAAACACCTCTGGGGATGGTGACTCAACCACCTCCCTGGAAAGCCTGTTCCAATGCTTGACAACCCTTTCAGTCAGAAATTCCTCCTAATATCCTACCTCAAGCTCTCCTGGTGCAACCTGAGGCTATTTCCCCTTGTCCTATCACTAGCTACCAGGGAAAAGAGACTGACCCCCACCTTGTTACAAACCCCTTTCAGGTAGTTGTGCAGAGCAATAAGGTCTCCCTTCAGCCTTCTTTTCTCCAGATTAAGCAATCCCAGCTCCTCATAAGACTTGTGCTCTAAACCCTTCACCAGCTTTGTTTTCCTTCTCTGGACACGCTCCAGCAAGTCAATGTCTTTCTTGTAGTGAGGGGCACAAAAACCGAACAAAGTATTTGAGGTGTGGCCTCACCAGTGCAGAGTACAGGGGAAGGATCACTTCCTTAGTCCTGCTGGCCGCACCGTTCCTGATGCAGAGCAGGATGCCATTGGCCTTCTTGGCCACCTGGGCACACTGCCAGCTCACATTCAGCTGACTGTCAATGATTCCCATTCTTTGAATAGTGGTTGTTAGCATCACCGTCTTCGCTTATGTCCCATTCCAAGGAAACTATTCATTAATTGCAACAGATCTAGTGAAGTAATTTAAGCACTGTGGCATCCAGAACTCTGTGGAAACTCTGGTTGCAAACTGCTTTTAACAAGTGAAATATGTCTCATTCTGTAATGAGAAAGGAGTATTTGAAGCATACAGTATTTCATGTCTAACTAGGTAATGTAGGAAAACTTCTGCAGACTCCATTCATAGAGGAGGCAACAGAGGAAGAAGATATCGTCTCTTATGTAAAGGAGAATGAATTTGCCTTAAGTTCTCCCACTTCTCCCACCTTTTCTGATTTTTATATTAGCATAAAAATAGGTTATGGCATAAAAATGAGGGAGAAACAACTGTTAGTCAAATGTTATCCATTTAAAAATCTGGGATGTAGCTATGACAGAGCCCAGTCCTCAATTTGCTAGTAAAATGAAGGGTATCATAATCCATCCCTCCACTGTGTTAACCAGATGGTGACTAGGTTATTGAAGGAAAGTGTTTATTACTGTAAGCACAAAATTTTGCCTGGATGTCTTGAAATAGAAAATTTCATAAGGTATTTTAGAAATTTGTCTTATATTCAGCATGAATAGTAATTTGTGCTGTTTACACTCACTACAATAATGAAAACTAAATTTGCATGCCAAACCAGTCAAACATGGTTCAATATCTATACAAGTTCTTCGAACTGTGTGACTGAAACTGTCTTTGACATAAAGCTGACATTCATTAACTGTGCTGGTAGAGCTGAGATCAAATAATCAATAAAGAAAGGGTTTAGAAATTTAGAAATATGTCTAAACTTTGGAGCTCTCCTCAAGCATTTGATTATCTGGAGGCTTAATTAACTGTGTTTCCTAGTTTAAATTAAAGGAAAAGATTTAGCTCAAATTTTCCAACATTTCAATAACTCTATTAATTTGAGGTTAATTAATGAACATTGAAAATTAAAATGTAGCGTTACTTATTAATGAGTTTGAAGCATAGGTATTTTTATTACTGTAGGAATTGACTATTCAATATACAAAAAAAGTGAAAGAGAGCAAAAAAAGTCTGTTGCACTGGTTTGTGAAGGGGAAATAAAATCAGTGGACAGGCTTAATGTGATCACCTACCCACAAAATACACAGACTTTGAGAACAGTTTCTGTAATTTAACTTTTAAAATTTATGCAATCAATCACATTTTAAAACCCTAAAGCTAAATCACATGTGCTGCTTCCTCAGGTTATTGGTCTTGGTTGCTGGACTAGACGTGTGATTCTTTGGAAAATAGGCTGCCATACCATTTGGATAACAAAAATAGAGTGCAGAAACATCTCTTTCAGTGGGGATGGGACACTCAGTATTGTTGATGAATTTCAAGCTTCTGATATCAACACCAGGATGAAGAATTAGGTGGAAATAGAACGTAAATCAGTCTGCAAGTTTTATTTATGAGTATATGTGCATGTACTGTGTGAACATACTCCCTCCAATATATTTTCAATATGTAAATGCAATTCCTATCATTCTATGCCCCTGAATATTGTTGGACCAGGTGTAGATGATGATGATTGAAGAATAAACTAACCAAACTGTCTCCCACTAATGTAGAGTCTTCTCACGGGCCTTCTAATATTTACTAATGCAAGGTTAACCTTCACACAAGTTCTAGGCCCACCATTCTCCACTCAAGATTTTTCATAGTGAGGCTAGCACATCTATGAATTCAAATTTGACCTAGCAGTGGAAACAGCATATGAATGGTGTCCACTCCTCTTAATGTATGTTAAATCAGGCCCATTTGATGTTGGTTCTGTTTTTTAAGTCACTCATTCAATCAAATGTCATAGTCATGTTTTAATAAAAGGCAAAATCAGAAATGTAGTAAACTAAAGAAATTTAAAAGTGCATTCTTAAATGAATTGGCATGAACTGAACCTGGCAGTAAGAATGTCTTTGTAGCCAGTTCATAACTTGCAAAATATGAAATTGAACTGTGTTTCATTTTATTGCTCAGATGGGATTATGCTTGAAAACATAAGTATGTAGTATGCCTGTGACTCTTCACAGCTGAGATTATGGTTAAAATTCTTGTTTGACATGGAACTGCCCACTTAACTAAAGCCTCTCTAGTAAACTAAACTCCTCACTAGTATTGTTCACTTTTCTTTAAGCTAATGATTTTATTATTTCAGTGGAATTACTTCTGCTCCACATCAGTGTAGAATACATAGCAATCATAGATCCAGAAACATCTGCATTATTACACATACACATGGCACACCTGTAATTTTTTCATTTTTCTATATTTATGAGCTGGCCTATTAGAGCTTCTTATCCTTTTGCAAAATGCTCAAAGTTCTGGCTATTTTTCTGAGGTGTAAATAGTAAATCAACAGTCATTTAAAATAAACGGTATTATAAGTGGAAATAACTGTAATAGTAGTTCAGTACTCTTTTTGTACTAACAAACTTATAATTTTACACATGATCAGATAACCACTTACATCAGTGCTTACTTTTAAATTTTTAAATAGTTCTGTGAAATTCTACTACTGGAATATTTCCTTACTTTTTTTTTCTTCTCCAAGCAATACACAAGTGCTCAGCATCTGGAAGAACCCAGATGTAGTTTGAAAGCACAAGGTGCCCATGCTTTTGCCAGTTTCATGTGATTGGAAATTAGATAAACCTGTCATTAATAAACCTTTAAAAGGGATATTTGGGTTATTAAGTATATATTATGATAATTTGCATTCCAACATACAAACCTCATTGGCTGCACTGGTTTTAGACACTGCTGTTCCATAAAAGTACCTGATATTATCATACTTCCAACTCCAGAGGAACTAAGCATACTATCAAGTACCAAAAGGTATTGAAAGTATTTTTTCTCTCCTGAGGAAAATACCTATTTCTTTGTCAAAAACAGTTCAGAAAACAATGTTATAAATGACCCTGAGGAAAAAACCTGGGTGATTTATGGTGTACCAGATTTCAATCAAAAATTTGTTTGAAAAGAAAAAACTTCCTTCTAGTAGGTTTTCTAATTAAAATCCTTGTATTAATGTTTGGTACAAAATTAAATACTTCAGAAGGAATCAAGGTTATATCTTCATGTTTTGCTGCTCAGAAAGGAGAATGATTATTTCTTTAAATTGTAAATCTCCCAGTGCTTTCACATGCAAATAATACAGCAGATATCTATGGTTAATTTATGTCAATGATAGTCTTGCCAGTAAAGAAGAAAGATTTAATGTCAAAACCAATTTATTTCTCTCTAAGTAGATAGAAACAGTAAGATTCAAATTCTCAAGAGCCTTTGTTCATGACCATCTGTGTTCATCAGTAGTTAGCAGATGATGCTGACAGTTGAAAATAAAGTAGAAATTAATGCCTCATGTACTGTCATTGACAATTTTTGTGGACTTCTACATAACAATTTCAGATAAAAGGTATTCTAGCTTCTTGTTACAAGTTTCCTTATATACCTGGGGGAAAAAGGAGCTATAAGATCTTTCTGTTTCTCATTTTAATCATACTAAACTACTTTTGCACTATACAGTTAGATGGTGATAAAATTATTAATCCTAATGTTTAATTGCATGGCCAAGTGCACATAAACCTATTTTTTAGTAAATCTTTAGATAAGAATGTGATGCCAAATATTTAGGAAGCATTGTTGTTATCTCTTTATGTTGGGTTTGTTGTTTTGTTTGTTTTTTTCTATTTAGGAAGACATATGTGTGTGTGTGTGTGTGCGTGTGTGTATAATCAAATACTAGAAAAAAAGGAAGAAAAATGTGTTTCCTAAAGGAATGCACGTAGTAAAAAAAAAAAAGGTTTAGAACTCTTGACATTCACGGCTCATGAAGTTGTATTTTATCATGTCATCTTTTTACAAAGTAGATATGTAATGGTCTTAATACCACATATAGACTACTCTAGTATTAATATATTTGAAAATTATTTTTTAAATTTTATTTTTCTTTTTTTGAAGCTGATAGGCTTCATTAACTTGTTAGTATTGTGAGAGTTGATGGGTTAATTAACAATTCAGTAACTGTCAGGATTTTGTCTGCCCATTTCTGATATTGGCTGTAGTTCTGAGGGTAGTGTTCTAATTGATTTTGAAAAAAAGTTAAATAAATCTTGCCCCTGTCTATCTTCCTGTGTTACTTCACAAGACTGAGATATCACTTGCCTTCCCGAACAAGAAGCCTACATAAATACTTTTATAGTACTTGAAAACAGAAATTTTTAAAGAAAAAATATACTCAAGTATTACATTGCAAAATTCTATTATTTATATCCTTATGTGATATGCAGCACATTGCCTCAGCATTGTCAGAACCAGGCTTACCTGTAATTATTCTGTTATCCTGAAGAAATAGCAGACATCAGTTGTTCACTGTGATTTCTGAACTTATTATAGAAGGGCAATATTATCAGTTCAGCAGCCATTTCCTTGCGTTCTGCTAAGCACATGACTGTTGCAAGATATGCAGAGCATTGCTTATATTTGCTTAAAAAAATATTCTCAAAATATATTGAAAGAAGGGAAGCTTGTAGAGAAACACTGAGCACTGGATAAGTTAGTGTCTGATACAGATGATGGCAGCCATCTAATCTGAATGGTGAACCCTAGAATAATTGTGACAAATTAATAAAACAGGAAGCAAGTAGCATTGAATTTTCATACACTTCAATGACAAAATTGGAAAATAATTTCTAGTTAATTAAAAAACAGGCTGGTTTCTTTATTCTCAGAATGCCTATTAGCTTGAAGCAAATGATGTGCTAGCTCACAGTTCTGCAAGTCTCTGAGTATCACCCTTGAGTTGTTTTAATAAATAGCCTCTTATACAGACTTCTACAACTGAAAAAAAAAAAATTACAGTATCATAATGTACTTCCCATATCTGGGTCAGAAATTCCTTCCAGTCATGCTGTTTCTCTGTGGCAGTAGTTGGCAAATATTGACTAATTTATAGTGTATTTTTCTTCAGTACCAACATATTTTCTAAGGAATCCACACTACAATCAACATGTGGCTGAATTTCAGCAAAGGTTTTAAAAGTTTCCTCAAAACATCCACAATTATAGCCAAATGCAATTTTATGTTATGTATCATGACTTTTGTTATTATTGCTTAAATAGAGTTAGTAACATAGTGTTGGTGCTTATGCTACTGTTCTCAACTTGTCAGTTTATATTTTTAGGAAAATACGTGTTCATTATCTTCAAAACAGAAAGACCTTAATATATGTTCTTTATATACTTAACTGGAAAAAAAAAGAAAATATTTTAGTGTAAGTTCTCAAAGAAAATACATACCCTGCAGCCATCTCAACATCTCTGATGTTGTTTGTGAAAAAGGACTGACTCTTGGCCTCTTCTTTTTCTGCAGGCTGGTGTTTGCGAAACTAAAGCTCTTAATGATAGCCATAGAATACAAGTCGGAAAAACGAGAAAGCAGGTATGTCCAATGCCTATGAATTTTGAAGTTCTGGAATGCACTGGCAAGAATTTTGCCTGCATTTATTTTCCTTCTTTTTTTTCTTTTTTTTTTCAGAATAAACATAGCTATTCTTATATTTTTTAAACATTTCAGAGTGTAATTAGCATGCTATCATATTACACCATTTCACATAGCGCTGAAAGGCTTTGTTTTCTGCCCTATTCTTCCCTAAAATTAAGTCAGAACATTTAGTAAAAGGTGGGAGGAAGTGATACCTGTGTCCCATCTTCAGAAGTGCATTTCATTTCTACTGGAATAAAAACTTAAAATGTTTTTGTTTGTAATCTATTAATTTGAATTGGTCGTTCAATTTATTTTACCGAAAATTGAAAACTGGAAAACAGATGTGATATCAAAACTCCTTATGGCTATGTGTATTCTCAAAAGAAAAATTTCATTTAAATGAGCTTGGAAGAACCAGTTTAGATTGGTGTCCTGGTTTTACAGGATAGACAGAAATATAGCATAAACATAGTATTTCTATGATATCCGTTCTGACAAAACTTGCATATATGATCATGAATATGGAAAATATTAATTTACCCTTGAAATTACCAGCTGACTGACTTTTTCTCACCAAAAAGAAATGAAATAATTATTATTAGTACATGTTCACAGTCAGGAAAGGAGTGTTTCTTGTGGGTCTTTTGTACAAAAAATCATAAACATCTGCATGAACACAGAAGTCAATCTTCTATCTACTTTTCCGTCAGTGCTTTACACAGCATTCATTTTTATATAACAAAAATGTTGCAAATGTGCTCTGCAACGTGTGGAGTGGCCTATATTAAAATATGACAACACTGATTCTGAGATAAATTTTATTTTCCTCTGTCAAAAATTATATGCTGTACTAAAGTAGTCAATCTGGAATGATACATGTTAGTTCATCTTAATTTTTGGCCACTAAAACTTTTGAGGACAATTGTTTCTTCTCTCAGGAGAACCAATTCTCTCCTTTCAGCTCAAGTCACAATTTCTAAGTTTTTGAAAGTTTATTTTAATGTTTATTATTACACATTGTCATTTATTAAAAATTTCTATAAACCCTATGTGGGGCATTTGACATGGAAAGTGCAATGTTACAGCTGTTTATAAGAATATTTCTGTTCTCTATAGTTGGTGTTGCTTGATTTTTTCCTATGTTATAAAGTGATATATGAAGTGGTGTATGTGCTATTGGATATTATTTTTGTCCTCACTGTGCTTATTAAGAAATAGGTTGGTTTGTGGGTTTTTTTTGTTGTTTTTTTGTTTGTTTTTTTTTAATATCCGGGGTTTTTATTAATGTTTCCAGCTCCCATGGGTTCTTAAAATACTTTTCTGTTGGATTATCTCATTCTTCATTGGCTAATATAAAGTAAATGATTTATTATTCTTTAGTCTCTGAACAGTTTAATCTCTTCCTAGAAAAAAGAAAAATAAGTTAGTAACAGCAGTGGAACTATGTACCAAAATTTGTACTTTCAATATTAGAAAATATTTGGTTTCTGTTGGTTCTCCTTGGAATAATTTCCCAACTTTAGGTTGTTGTTATTTCAGTTGTAATTTACTTACATAAGTGCTAATATTACAGTCTTTTTCAGTAATAACAGATAATTCATGGCCTCCATATCATTCTTTGCACTAACTTCAGTGGGAGTTGGATTGAGTTCTTAATCACAAGGTGATGCAGAGGATCCCACAAAAACTAATACAATGTGATACAATCATGTATTCCTTCTTACTTAAAGCCGAGCAGGTAACAGTTCATAGTTCATTAATTTGATAGGAAAAAAAGCCTAAAAATTACAGGAAAAAATCTAACAAAAAGATGTTAACAGCTGGATTTTATGAATATATATGTAACAAGAGGAGAGCATGTAAGCCAGATATTCACCTTTTCTTCTAACCCTGATCCCCAGTAATATCTGCTGACTTTATTAAGGACTGATAATTTTACATTCACTGTTCAGTGAATCACAGACCTACCTGCAGCATATCTTTTATATTTTACTTGTTTCTGTGCTCTTCAACCCAAATATGTTAGTACATATTTGGTTTTCTGAGCTGGACTCTTAGTCTAACCAGAAAGGTAAAAGAATATAGCTTCAGTTTCTCACTTCTTAGGTATAGTTGCATTTTCTTGCATCTTATTAAATGAAAATAATTGAGATAAAAAAATAGAATAATACGGTTTACAAGTGCAAGTTGTCTTTGGACAAGATAAATTTGACATTTGCCAAGAATGTTTGTTGCTGTTGACTGTGGAAATATTTTGTTCTACTTCATATCTTAAGTTCTTAATTGGTAATTCTTCATAAAGTTGAAGGGGGAACTGATTATGGTACCCTTCTAGCTTTCACTCTTTATGAGAGTGAACAACAGTGTAGATACGTGTTGATTTATTTTATTATTATAATTTAGATTCGTATTTTGTAAAACAATGGGGAGTTTAGAGCAACAATGATAAATAGAAAAAAAAATTAGGATATTATCTAGGTGGCACCCTTTTATCAAGAGCTACTATTTCCTGCCATAGCTGAGACAGATCTAGGACCAGTGTCTTCACAGGAGCAGAGGAAATTTTCAAAACATTCCTTCTGCCTGAGGGATGAGAAGATCTAACTCTCACCAGTTTAATTTTTGTTACTACTCATAATAGTATATCTATATAAGTAAATTATATATATAATTTCTTACTTACACAGGGAGTTTCCTTTTAAGATTAGTTTCATCTGCCTTCATCACTTTGCACTGAGAGCAAAAACAACACAAAGGGAATTCAATAGTGTGTGCAGCTCTCAAAAGTAGTAATGTGAAGGAATCTAGATTTTCTAATTCTCCGTCTAAATTTTCACATAAGTGTTAAGGATAAATCCTAGTACCATTTTAAGTCAATAGTAGAATTTCCATTGACTTTGTTAACATCTCCATTACATGTAGAATGAAATAATACTCGCCTATGCACGTTTCCCCCCCCCCCCGCACTGCAACCCCCTGTTCCCTTCTCCCCCCCCCCCCGGCAATCTCCTAGATGCTGGTTTTTCTAAAGTTTTCCGATTTACAGTCAAATTTCATTGACTCTGCCATAGGGAATTTGAAATCAATAGTATTTATAAATCATCAAAACTCTATCGAAGCACATATTGATAATCAGGTTAGCAGTAGCTGAACTTTTCTTTTGCTTTTACGAGAGTGTGTAAAAGCAGAATTTATAACTTTTCAAGCCTAAATATTGGTAACATAGTCATAGATACGGCATAGATAAGACAAATACAAACTTGTTTTCAAATAATGGGTAAAGTGCCTACAGTAAGTATATCTTAGTAGGCAACTCTTTCTCATCAAAATATCTTGATGAGAATGATTAAAATAGCCATGATTTGATAATTTTTACCATTAAAAATTAATTTTACCGTTAAAAATTTATTTATTGAATGATGTTTAAATTACTGCTCATTTGGCAAAGAAACCCCTGAGTTTACAAAATTTAGTAAATTACTGAATTTAGTAGGTTTCTGACCAGCTACTAAGGCCTCCACTTAAGCAGTTCTGGATCATGATATAAGTTAGCCGTTCCTTCCTCTCTGATTAGTACCTGGGAATATTATGATTAGTTATTAAGAGCAGCAAGCCCTTAAATAATTTTTTTTTTGTGTCCCTGATGCAAGCCAAGTACTTTAGCTTAAAAAATGGTCTTTCTTACTTCATTTGTAGGGAAGTTTTGTTTATTCTGTAGAAAAAATGCTATAGGAACATGGAGTATATTGACTTGAAAATGTCCCAGCAGAGCTTGCTGAATAGATAGTACTAGGCATTCAAAATGCAGACATTTAAACTCCTCATATGAAATCCCTTTTAGAGATATTTTTGCTTTCCTTTTTCCCCTTTTTTAAATTTTTTTCCACATGAGTAAGCAAGAAGGAAAGCCTTACCAAGATTCTCCCCTCCTGCACCCCATGTTTACTCCTCTTGTTAAATTTTCTCTTTGTCTATCCATATATTTGTTCTCATTCTCAGCAGAAAAACCTTTGAGCCTTGAAGACTTTAAATTAAAGGGTTTTTTTGCTTTTGCTTTGGTGTCAGTTGATTTCTTATCAAAGTGTTTGATTTGCAATTCTTTTCTTGTCGTTTGCAGAAGCCGAAAGCGGTATGCCCTCTTCGTTACCTTTCCTTCCAACCTCAATCCTACCTCCACTCCTTCTAACTTCAGGACTAATTCCTTGCCAAGAACACAGGAAGATAACATCTTTGTCTATCTTTCTCTGTATATGCACACACATATATACTTATATATATATATATATTCATCTGGCTATATGTGTGTGTGTGTGTGTATATATATATATATCTATATATCTGTGTGTATAATTATATATGAGCCCCCTATCTCAAAGAGGAGAGAGATTATAGCATTTTGTCTCTCCATTGGTTCTTGTGACTCACGCACTAACTTCTTTGCAGGAAGTACAAAATAAAACAGTATAAGTTTTTTAGGCTTTTTTTTCTCCCTTGTGGACTCATTGGTGTATCAGATTGTTGCATTTGAAAGGCAGACTTTACTGTTAACATCTCCCCTCTTTTTTCATTTATACTGTGTCTTGACGATGTATATTTCGTCTTTACCAGCCCTTGTGCTGCCATGTTGTCTCCATATTCACACCTTCATTGATGTCCTTCTTTCCCCAGAGTTTCACTTCAAAACACGTCTTGCAATACAGTAGTTCATGTTCTTCTGTAGTCTCACCTTCCATTGACAACAACCAAATACCTGATTCTTTGCATTGCTGGTTCTGTGTTGAGCCCAGTTATTCATAGTACAGTGCTCATTAAAGCTGTTGTACATATCCAGTGAAAGTGCCATGGATAGTTTGTATTATGTGTCACGTTCATTTTAATGACATTTATTAAGCTCATTTATGAACATGTTACCAAATGTATTTGTTTCTCAGTTTTGTTTTTTTCTTTGGGATGGCATGATTTGCATTTTTGTATACCATGCTGTGAGCCCCTCCCTAGTCTACATTCTATCTTGCTGCTATTGGTTTAGATGAAGTAAATAAGGCATGCTCTTCTATATCCTCTCCTCTCCACATCTCTTTTCCCATCCCAGCTTTGTTTTTTCTAGTTGCTTATAGCAGTCTGTCTGACTGTCAGTGGTCCTCTTTGGAGACCCATTCTCATTGTCCAGACATTTAAATTTTCTCCTTCATCATACCCTCCAAACTTTCCATGTCTGTTCTGTTGTGTGTGTTGTATGTGTTATCTTTATTTAATTTTTAGTCTTCTTCTCCTGTGGTTTCTGAGTAGATGTGTGAAAAGAGAGGTGGCTTCCTGACAGTTTGGCATTATTGATATGATCCAACTGCAGAGAAGTTACTGCAACACTTAGCATCTTCAAGGATCTGCAGTTGTTGCACCTCTACTTTGCTTCTTGCTTTTAAGTATATATTATCTTGTGGTGAAGGCATGTTAACGCTGGCATGATGAGCAATCTGAAGAAGTGTTGTACCAAGTGAAGTTGCTTGCTCCCAGAATAAAGTATATTGTGCTGCTTCGTTGTACTGATAATCAATCACTTCTGGAACCAGAAGTAATAATTTCTTCCAAAATATATTGAATTCACCAGCACCATTGAGCTAGTTTGGACTATGCCCCAATAAAATACCTTATGCACAGCCTGTAGAGCATGACTCAGTAGTTGCTATTGTAAAGAACTTAACTCCTGGGAGCAACCTTTTATATGCTTGTAGTAATTAAGCTTTAATATACGGTAGCATGTAATGTGCACTGTGTCTTTTGCCTTGTATTATTTTTAGTGTTTTACTGGATTTTTCTGTGTAGAGCAATATGGAAATGAATTGTCATCAATGATAGAGCCCAGAAGAAAGAAGCAATACTTATGAGTTACAATCAGTGTGAAGCTGGTATGCACGCAACTCCCACAATGGGACTTGTGCACCTACCCTCACACTCCACTCCAAAACATTCTCTGAAACAAAAAATATTATCTCAAAATAATTTTGTGATTCTAATTCTATAGTTGTGTGAATGACATGGCACCTTTTAAAAGGCCATTATGCTTATAGTGGTGCATTTCATCTGGGCATGGCATGAAACAATCAGGAATCATAGCTGGTTTTATTTGAAAATGTTGTAGCTAGAAAGTAATACCACATAGACTTGTTTTAGATAATGTATTAATAGTTCTTAAACAATAGTGTATCTTCCTGATTACTAGATTGTATTGCTACTGTTTCAGCAAATGGGGAATGGTACAGTACATCTACCACAAGGTTTAAAACAGAGTTGTTACAGCTTTTGTCATTTGTTTAGACACAATTTTACCATTCGTGTTTCATTTAATTCAACAATTGATCTTTTCTAAGACAAGGATGATGGCAGTTACAAGGGTAGCCATAAATCTGAAAAAAAAGGAGTGTTACTGAATCAGACGAGTTTCCTTGGTTCAGTGATGAACTGTTGAATTGGTCACTGATAAGGGGATTCATCTCACCTAACTTTATCAATCTAAAAATTAGATGTCTAGTCTCCTTTTAGCTATTCAGACTTAGTACATGATTGCAAAGTAAGAGAGAGACAGCCCTTGAAAGCAGCTTCCATTGCAAGACAGATGACATGAGTCCCACCAGTAGTGCTTTCTAAAATGTAACCTTGAAACTAAGAACAAACAAGAATTGTACAGAACTGAGGCTGTTGACAAAGAAAAATCTTAAAAGAACTCTTCCAGTGTACATCTCTACTGGTTGACCTTATCTATGACTTCCAGTTCTTTAGTCTTTAGCCTTTAGTCTAAAGTCTTCTTTAGCCTTTACTTCACCTCTTCCATCTTAATAAGATCCCTAATTTTCCCCAGAGAAGGCTGTCAGTTTTAAAAATCTGAGAGTCATCTCCTGTATAAATGCTATGTCTAGATTAAGAGTTTGAACTTAGGTCCATTTACAAGTTCACCACTAATGGATGTCTACTCAGTTTCAAGCTGTGGAAAGCAGATTGTGGAGCTATGCCACTTAGCAAGTGGCCTACCCATAAATACATACGCTGTAGCGATGGTTCAGACTTTAAAGCTGATAAGTTTTTTTCTTCACATAGAAGGTAGCTGAATATTGTAGAAAGTTACAGGAAATATATTTCATCTTGAACTGGGTTTTTTATATTGAAATTTTTTAGAAATAATGTTTTATATATTCTAATAACATTACAAGTTATCAGCCATCAAGTTTTCTAATGCTATTTCAACCTAAGAAATATAATTGGAGTCCAACACATATGATATTTGAAAGCAGGAGACAAATAAAAAACACCTAACAGCAGAAATGAGTAAAAAATAAATAGCTGGAGGGAATTAGCCCTGCCTCAAAGTGTCAGTTCCCAAATTGTCCTGCAGTTCAAAGCTCCATCAGGTTCTCCATCAAATATCTTTAAGTTCAGCAAAACATGGAAGACCTGAGATTAGTAATCAAAACCTTAGCTCTCTTTTAATTCTTCAAGGGAAGACATTATACGGTATTCTTTATCTGCATCACAATATTGTGCGTCATCTGTGCACTACCAAAGAGGTGTTGAGCAACACACATGTTCTGGGGTAGTTTCAGGTAAATAAGAATGGATGAACAGATATTTCCATGTATATGTGTTTTACTGAAGGTAGCACGTATACTTAAAACATGAGAAAGGAATAATCTGAAAAGTGAGTCAATTGATCAAAAATTAACACAGAGTTACTAACAGATATCTGTTCTTCACTGACATATGAAAAAGTCATCATGTCCTATCTTAAGTTTTCCTGAACAGTCATGTAGAGATCCATGAGTGTTCATCTAGAGTTTTTCTGACCATGTTTGAATTTTTCCTCTTTTTTAAGCTGTGCATCTCAAATGTGCATTAATTCCCATTTGTGCTTCACCTGCTTATATTTCAGTCTGGAAACTCAGTTTCAATTGTATGCATAGTATTGCTCTTGACTCTTTCCTGAGCTTTAAGTGTTCAATGTCAGATTAGATGGGGCTTTAAGCAATCTATTCTTGTGAAAAATATCCCTTGCCATGACATGGAGGTTGGAACTCGATGATCTTTAAAGGTCCCTTCCAACCTAAACCATTCTATGATTCATTCTGTAATTCCTCAGGGTACAACTGAATTCAAGGGTGATTTCTACATTTTTGTTGTGTGACATTTTCATTGCTCTTAGATGCATGATCTTGCATCTAGTCACCAAGTGAATCTGGTTTAACAAATGATCTAACTTTTGCTAGACATCAGATAAGTCTAAAGCAGAAGTTTCCAAACTGCATATTCTGTTCCACAAGTGGCTTACAAATTGTTGTATTATCATAGAGTAATGGGACTGCCTTCTCCTAAGTTCATGCTGGTGAAGTATGTTAAAATTCCCATTAAACACATTAAATTATATTTAATTTACACATATTCTATTTATGTGGCTGTAATTACCATGTGTTCTAAACGTTCATGTGTGAAGAAGCAAGCAAGTCAAAAGATGATCATTTTTGTTGCAGTAACACGTGACTTCTGTCATTAAAAGCTTTTTCCCAGGAATGTATTTATTGAACTGGAATTGTTAAGGAAATTATGACTAAACATTTTTTGATCTTGCTATTATCTGATTAGTTTCTGAGGTAGCCTAAACCAGAAATGCAATAAAATTATAAAATTTTATCAAGATCTTAGAAGCTTTTAAAATATTTGGCATTCATTGCTTGATTTCATGAGCTGATTTAAGAGTTAAGAATATAAATTATATTTTATCATAAAATCATAAATTTGGAAAAATCAAGGATGCATATGGATAAGCTACATTTATTGCTATTAAATGTAATGAGTTTCTGTCCTTTCTTCCTTTTTCCTACATCTTCCTATATCTGCAAAATTCCCCAGCCTTGGAGATACATAAAAAGGAGACATTAGCTGAAGCTTTCTCTTAAAACTCTGATTTACTTTGCCATGTACTTATCAACTGTGGGGATATATATATATATATGCATATTTTCATGAGCTGCTTAAACAGATATATGCATCTCTAACTGATGGATGTATTCTTGGTATGCTTATAAGCCTGCTTATTTTTCTCTGTCCTCTTTGTTCCCTATATTCTATTATTTTAATTCAAAACATTTCCCTTGCTGTACCTATTAGAGTGAGTCCTTATCAAAGCATAACTTTAGCTAATGACACTGCAGGCCTCATAAGAAATAATTCAATTGCTGCTTTAAAAAGCAGCACATTTAATAAATCCATGTAGACTCAGTAGAAATATCTCATGATTTTGCTCTTGTTGAATATCTGTGTATATAATCCCAAACCTTCATAAGCCTTTTCTGTAACGCTGCCAATAGCAGTGATGGGGCAAATTAATCTTTATTTCCAACAGAAGATTTTGCTGCTGGGGTCATACTGCATTAACTGCAATCATATCTATAGTTTGTGACTCTAAATACATTGTATTTGTGAAAATAAGTATATGTGAATGAAGCATAAGATCTGACAAAAATAAAGTCTATACACTGACATGAATTGATGTCATGTGTCTCAGAAAACCTTTAGATACAAAATCATGCTCACAATACACTGCATCCTAAATGAAGCTAGTTACTTCTGATTTAAAATTATGTTCACTGCTTCTTAAAAGAAATGCTTCATTTGCTTATTACTTTGTCATAGTTTAAGCTTTGTGAGGGAGAGTGATCGTTTACGTATTTAGTGGTTACCTCATCTTATAGAGTTCGGGATGTTGAGCTTTTGGAAGGATTTTTTACTGTATGGGTATGGTTTATCTATCTCCAAGAATGGGATGAGGAAAGAGAAAAAAGGTGGGTCTATGCAAAGAAATGTGTTCATCTGTTTTCACTGAAAACCTGTAATGCTTCTGTGATTAAGGGCAAAAAAGGTATTTTTCTGAAAGAGCAGTACCCGTTTGTAACTGAGAAAAATAGCCAACCTTACCATATTACAAATCTTAGCGTATTTTAGAAGGAACAGTAGAGTAGAAATAAATGTAACTAGCATCTGTAGAAGATTTTTGAGTTTAATGTCTAAATTCTCAGCGTAATGGCAGATTAAGGATTAGCAGACAGGGAAGAAGAAAGGTGGAGACTGAGACATGGATGCAGTTGTGGACATGATGGAAAGTTTTTTCAGAAAGACTTTGGGGAGTTAGTGGCAGAAAGATTCTTTCCTGGTTCTTGAGAAGTGGCTTATCTAGGGTCATGATAGGCCATTCTCAACTTTTTTTTTAGTGTACTAGTAGACTGTATGTCTCATGTCCCTTAGTGATGGCCTGTTACAGAGATCTGTAACAGCTAGTAAATGCTCTGTTGGCTCAAGTGACAAAAGTTTGTGCAGGGAATCTAAATTTTCCAACTTGTTCATGACTTGAGTGACTGGTTTCCTATGAAGAAATTCCTGTGGTGTTCTTTGGTTGGTTTTCTTTTTTGTGTCTGTTTTACTCCACTTTAAAACCTGTGAAATTGCATTTTAAAGCTGCGTTAGGTAAATGTCTTGGTTGCAAGTGCAGCCATTAAGCTCAATACACTAACAAAAGAAATACCAGATGTGAAGTTTAGCTGTGCAGCTTTAACTCATGCCATTTATCTGTGTGCATACTGTAGGCATTATTTACACCATCACATTTCATTTTTTGCAATACTAGTGAAATGTGCTGTGGAGATGAACCTGCTTTCTGTGGTGTTGACTTCCATTTTCTGTAGTTCTCTCCTTTTTGTTGCAAAGCTTGAAACTGAATGAAGGGAAAGGAAGGATATCTGGGTAAATGCTTTCTTTAAGATTTCATTTCTCTTCCGGCCTCTGCCACAGAAAATCTGTGTAAAAGCAACCTAATAACTTAAACCAAACCTTTTACAGGTGAGTTATGATTAAGTGTTTATTATTTTGGGAACCAGACGCTGGGCTTTTGGAAATGCTGAGCATTCTTACAGCAAAAGTTCCTAGAAAGAGTATATGGAGTTATGCAATGCTAAATATTTTAAAAATTGGCCTGTAGGCATCCCAAATTAATAGCTACTATATCTCATAGTGACTTAATCTCTCATCTGTAAAATGGGATAATACTATATCTTCATTCTTCTTGTAAAATAAATTATGTATTTTTGAATCTTTTGCATGCTATAGTGATGAACACTGCAGAAAAACACATAAGAAAAATATGATACTGATTTTAAAGAAAGCTAAACTACACAAAGCCATACCTGGAGCAATGGCAGTAAAACACCACTGAATGAAGTTCCAAATTGTGAGAAAAACAGTAGTTTGTGGGTATTAAATTGAAAATTGTATCATAACTTCTATATAATGGGGGCTGAATTATGGCTGCATGGCCAGCCTTTTAATTATTAACTCATGAGTGCTTTATTTTGCAGCCTGCATATTTCTTTTCATAGGGCCTTGTGGGCATGTATAATCGCACAAAACAATGTGCTCATTATAAAGCTTTCAGGTATATTTTTTTCACACTAATTTATTAATAATGTATATAGGTAATAAATGATGTCTTGAATAAGACATCTGCTGAGACATATTTTCCTTCCTAAAAATAGCATGATAGAATTTTGGACTTCAAATTTTAGTAATGTATGTCTGTTCAGAAATGTGCTTTATTTATTTTTGTATATATTCTTTCCCCAAAATCAATTTTTGCTGAATCCAGGAAAGTTTCAATTGTTGGTAGTCTTTATTTACTGTAAAATGAATGTATGCCATTACTACATTTTGACTTACAAAGGTGAAACTTTGATAAAAGACAAAAAAGAGAGAACTTTTGACAAGCCTTATTAAGTTTTAGCAAGTCAAAAGCTTAGTTATATTGCATGTTAATAAAACTTATTGGAGAATATATTTGCATCTATCTGTATACTCATATTTAGCTTGGTACTTTGCAAATTGCCTTTCCTAAATTTAGTGTTAAATTATTATGAAAATAAAAAAATATTTTTTTAGAGACATTGAGTATTCACTTCTTGACACCAGTTTATAATTTCCTTCATCAAATTTAGCTGAGGCTATTCTGTCAGTGTGGTTGGGTTATTCTTGTTCTTCCATGGCTAAACAGCAGTGTTTTTTAAATTTTCTATTCATTTTATGTTTTTTCAGCTATCGTGACTGGTTGTCTTGTACCATTCCCCTTGAGTGTATGTGTGTATTAATTATTTTAAACAATAATATTGTATGTCCAGATAGGGGTCCCATTAACATTCTATTTCACTAGAAATTGGGAAAAAATGGCATCAAAGGGCTTAACTTCATAAATGATACTTTGTATTGTTATTGAGTGGTAGTTGCTGGTTCTTCTTTTCACCATATTGTGAAGTTTTCACCACTTCACATGACAGTGCAAGAAAGTTGAAATGCTCAGCTTCACACATCATGTTTCTGAGAGGCTTTGTTATTTTGTATATATATTTAATGCAAAAACATAAACAACAGATGTACACACTTAAATGATTTGATTATATGTGGAGCCATGTGACTGTCTCAAACTTAAGTTTTTGTAAAAAGCATGTGAAACTGTTATTTGATTGGAAATTTCAAGGAAGAATGGCTTAAAATTTCCTTGCAGCCTTTCCTAGCTAGTGGGTCCCCTATAACAGAACCAAATAAAGTTATTTTGGAACATTCAGTCAGAAGTAATTTAAACTTACGGTTTTGTTGTTTTTGTTCTTGTTTCACTGAGCAGTATATTAATCAATCCTGGAAACCATGTCAAGATTCAAGAAGGTACTTTAGGATTCTTCATTGCAAGTGATGCCAAAGAAGTAAAAAGGTATTTAATATATTTTTATCTTCAAATAAAATGTATAATATAATTTCTCTTTTCTTCTTTACATGTAAGCACCTCACCTAATTTTTATTATTATCTGTTTAAAAATTCTCAGGGAGAATTGAGTTGGTACTTTTGTGAACTAAGCATGTGTGCATGCCATTTTCTTAACTGCAGCCCTAAATATCAAGGAAATGAAATAATTTTGCAGCAGATGTGAAAAGAAATGAAGAGGCTTTTTTTCAGATTCCTACTAGAAAATGTAAAATATTTTTATCTGATTTCTCTATAATTATTTTGTCTTAGTGGAATTACTTTGAAAGAGGACAGGGATTACAGTTTTGTCCAAGTTTGAGGTTTAGAGTAGTTCTTATTTACATAGACTAGCAAATATTTCATGTGAGCAAGAAACTCATTCAGTAATTCCATTAGCAAAATAATATTTATGTTCCTCTCATTTTTCTTTACTGGAACTACATATTCTATGGCCTCATAATAATAAATGAAACTACAACAGTGCAGCGTATCCCAACCATTGTAGACAAGTTCATTGTCCTTGGCTGTATTGGGTTTGGGCTGAAGGAAAAGGGATTTTATGGTATTGTGCTTAGGACCAAATCTGTGTACTCTTTTTTGTTAGGATTATAATATGCTTGGAAGAAATAAAAGAGCAATGTGAGAAAATAATTTTTAAAAGAATTAGTTATTCAGTGTCTGTAAGTTTGTTTGTTTGTTTTTTAAAGAGAAAAGGAATATTTGCAGCTGAGTGCTTTCTCAGAATGTGTATTTTTGTTGTAAATTATGCTATCAAGAATCTGATTTTTACTTGATGTTCTCCTTGAGGTAGGTATTTTAACTAAATCCTATACTTAGAATGATGAAGTATTCGAATGATAACTTGTACTTAGTCTTAAACTTTTTGTTATTAAATGACAGTGAAAATAATACTTAACCAATGCATATTTGCCATGAATATTTAAAGAAAGTTAAAACACCAAAAGAATGAAATCACTGAAAACTTGAATTCTATTGTCATTGAAATAGCTAAGATAGTTTTTGGCTAAGTGAAGCATACAGAAAAGCCCAGCCGTGCTTCTGTCCTCTCATTTCTAGCACCATCTTAGAAGTATTTTCATCTAGCACTGCCTCAGGTATGCTGACTTTCAGCGTATACTTCTTTTCCTCTCTGGTGCTTTTCTCCAATATACAGAACTTTCTTCACATTCCTTTAATGGGACACTAGCTTTCTTTCATTTATTAGGTTTTTTACACTCTCCTGTGAAATTGTTTCAGACTGTAAGTAAAATTTTCCTGGCATAGCGTTTTTAACAGAGAGAAGTTGACTGTTATTAATGTGTTTAGTGAGAATTTACACATCATACATCTAACACATTTTATCTAATAGCAAACTGGAAGAAAATTCCCAGTTCTGCCTTGCTTTCTGCAGAAGGCTTTGTTTAGAAACATGCTGCCTTCCTTACCATATTTTGTAGCTGTTTTGTGGAAAGAAAATTATTATCAGATGTGCTTCAACTAACAGAAATAATTATATGAAGTGTTGATTTCACCCTTTTGAGCTATGAATCAGATTCAGAAAAATGTTCTAAAATTGAGGTCTTTTGAAGGGGTGAAAAAGTGATTTTTTTCATAGAGCAAAATTAAACATGTTGTATACGTGAAAATCAAATTAAATTATTCTGATTTTGTATTATGTGCTAATTGAGAAATTTCAGCTCCTTTTACCTAAAGCTGTTCATATTTATCAAATGTGTATTTGACAAGGAACTATAACATACAATGTTCAATTACTCTTCTTGCTAGAACTACTTTTGCATTTTTAGAACAATAGTTTCACATTAGAAACAATTATACCTAGAAACAATTATGCCTAGGTAAATAGCTTCATGTAAAATGTTGAGTGTTTAAACATAATGCAAACTATATTAATTGCATCTTTATTATTCTTTATCCATTTACATAATAATACTAACATCAGAAATCCACATGCTTCAAATCCACTGAATTCAAACCAATTATATAGGATCATTTTATTACATCAGTCACTTCAGTCATTTGCTCTTGACTTTGCACATAGTATGGAAGGTACTCTTTACAACATTTGTCCTGTAGTGGAGTTCAGGAACATGATTTGTAGCAATGAGCTATGTCCAATTCATGTCATGTAGTTTTATGAGGGAATATTTGTTATAATGGATTCTTCTTAAATACAGGGGCTTGCAGCTGGATTGGAGATAAATTGTAAAAATAAGAGGCAGTTTTTTCCTCTTTGCTTATGTCTTGACGTTGACTCACAGTTGAAATATATTTTATTCTCATTTCCTTGGAGGCAGTTTGTTTTCTTTTTGTTGGAAGTTAAATATTTTGAAGAGCAGAAACTTTCTGCAGTAAAGTTTACAAATGCTCAGAGAAGGCTCTTTCATGTTGTGTTTTGCTTCTTGGAAATAGCAAGATAATTTCACAGTATGAAAGAGTAATCTTCCTGGAAGTTTCTTACAGTAATTAAATCTACTACACTTAAGACTTAGATCTTTCATCAGTAGCTTTCATGGTATCTTGATTTTAGAAATGCTAATAACATTCATTGAGGTCTTCCTGCAAATTTACATTTGTATTCTCTGGTCCATGTCTCATATGTGAGACCTGCTACCACTTTACTTGGGCCGTTATTCAGAGGTATCAAATAACTTAGATAATTAAACTGTATGAATTAGGTATATAGTTCATATATCTGAACATTTTCTTAGTGTCCTGTGGTGGACACTAATGTATAAAGAATTAGTAGCAATGAGCCTAGCTGAACTGTCAAAGGCTCTGTATTAATATTGCTTTTTTTTTTTTTATATTTTGGACTGTAAATTGTTCTCTTCCAGTGACCTACATATTGTTGTAGCAATCCAACTATCCTAAATCTATCTACTATCTAAGTACTATCTACTGTCAGCAAAAGCCATGGGTGGTTGCAAAGTAGCACCTTTGATTCTTACTACCAATTTGTATTGAGAAGTATGCAATGAGAGAGGGCTAGGAATACAGGCATGGAGCTCATGTATTCTGGATATGGATGAGTACAGGGAAATTTCAGCAGGTTAAAATGTATGCTTAATTTGTTATGCTAGCAAGAATCCTGGGAAACTGTAACTGTCCAGCTAGAGGCCAGCTGTGTGATCCTCATGAAATGTGTCACAGCAACCTTACGTGACATGTTGACTTGACAGACATGATTAAATTCTCCTGTAGGCAGTTTCATGCATATTTATTAAATTAGAATTTGTTTTAATCTCATATAAAGTCAAATGTTTACCATATCTTACTTAGTTCTCCTTGTGCTTCACCTAGTTGTGAGCCATTTAATACAAAGGTAGAAATTCATAACCAAAAACATTATGTGGAAACCTAGATGGTACCTCTTGATAAATGTGTACTTTTCTTTGAAATTTGCTGTTTTGTATGTTCAAAACCAAAATTGTTCTGCTCTATTCCAGTGTAAAAGACAAAAAAAGAGATAGTTGGAATAAAGATTATTTCAGTTCTTTCATTTGTATGTTCCTTTAGGAAATTATTTCCTTTCTGGGTTTGGTTGGATTTTTGTTGGGTTTGGGTTTTTTTTGTAAATAGTTTATCTAGTGTTATTGTCAGATTGATGTCATTGCAATCTTATATCCAAAATGAAGTTCTACTTGTGACTAAAAAATTGGCCCAGGATGATAGACAGTCTTTAAAAAAATAATCTGGTATATCCGATAGGAAAAGAGAATTTATTGTACATATATTTTTGTGACAAAATTCATTGGATGCTCTTTTTTCTAAGATGAAAGACAAATGAACTGACATGTCATAACTATCATCCCTTCTCCTAATTACGTTTCAAATAAAAATATATTAAAAGAAACACTAATTTGGAGTCTTATTTTTGAAATTAACAGTCTTGCAGCAAATATTTCCTACTTTAAATGTCTAAACCTTTTCAAAGATTAAAGGAAATTAGTGCTGGCATGTTTCATTAATTTGGCACTGCAACAAGAGGAAATGTGGGGCTAATTTCATTTGTATGGATTAAGAAACGTGTCAGTTTTTCCATTCTGTCTCTCTAGGGCATTTTTTTACTGCAAGGCCTGTCATGATGACATCACGGATCCCAAAAGGATTAAAAAATGTGGCTGCAAACGGCGTAAGTAATATTTCTATCACTCTCTTCCTCTCCTTTTCATGAAGTGTTCAGCCTTGAAGAATATCTGTACATGCGTTTACGTGTTTTAGCCAATGGTACAAAAAAGCTAAGAATTAAATGCACAGCAACATAATAAATGTCATATACATTTCTGAAGTACATAAAATTTTATTACATATCATACCACTCACACCTGATTTTTCATTAAAAAGTTCATTAGAGTCCAAAGCTAACAAATTCTGAAAATCAAGCTAGATCTAATTGTGAAGGTTTCTGAGTTAAGAATGAGCTGTTAGTGAAGTTTTGCTTTCATTGATACCATGCAGAAATCCAGTAATTTCAATAGTTTTCTGTAAAGTAAAGAACTTTTCTCTATCTTGCTGAACATGATTCTGTTAAAAAAAGCAGCTAGGACATAATATTCCATTGTGTAACTATTGAAATAAATTATTGTTGAAATAAACAATCGGTTTTATTGGAGGAAAGGATTGTCTGGAAGAAATTAAACATTAGTGCCTCTCACATATATCCTTCTAAAAGGCTCCATAGCTGCAATGCTAATATTTGGTTTAGTTAAGTTCTTAGGTCTGCTCTTTAAATTGTTTGGAAAATTTTGCATGGAGAAATAATTGAGTTTTGGAATTGAGGTCAGACTTTGCATCTGTATTTTTATAATGCATCAATGTATAGCTATAAATATTAGCATTTTATCTAGATATTCTTTAAAAGGACTTTTTGCAGGAACTATCACAACCACTTTTTAGCCAAAGATGTGTTTGACCTTTGTGTATTTGTAATACTGATATCAAAAGAATTTGGGGATCCATTTTTCAATGGGCATCTGAATATTTATGTGCATTCCGTGGTCTTCTGCCCTGGAAAGGATCATTCCGTTCAAAACTACTGGTTAGGTAAACTGAAAGATCTCAGAAGAGTTTGATCATGTCTGTTTTGCCATTGCTTTTGAAAGGAACAAAACTTTCATATTTATAGAGCCAGTCACAGTGTTATCAGTGCACTACAGTGTTATCACTGCATCCTCTAGGATGGAAGGAAGCCTAAACTGGACCTTCTCTGCCTTTAAGAGATGCCTGAAATTGATTAATTCTTTAAGATTATTTTATAGAGAAAAAATATGTGACTGGAGTTTTTTAAAAAACTCTCCCCGCAAAAACCAGGAATGTAGAACAAAGTTTTATAACTGAGAGAAAGCAGCAGAAACGCTGTCAGAAAATAGTGTTTATCCTCCCAGTAGCCACAAGGAGAGCAAAGCACATGGAAAGCATGCCTGATGTGGAAGGAATGTATCTATTGCCTAACATATTGGAAAAAAATTGTTCAAGAACAGTTTATCCATGTAAGAATGTGACCTTTGAACTGCTGCCAAAGCCAGTGAGGCTGCTGAGTAAGTTCTGGTAAAGCCAGTTACAGATGCCTCGGGGTGCCTGCAACTCTCTAACCCAGTCTTTTTTACAAATTACCCAACATTTAAAGAGAAATATGGTTCCTGTTTAATTTCATCTGATTCTGTCAAGAAAGACTTATTTTATTTGCATTTTCTTCTCTTTTTTCACATAGTGTATGCTTTTCACACATGTGCTGATTAAAAAAAAATTCCCAAAGATGTGTCATTTTAATGTCAGATTTACACTTTTCATTGAAATCTATGAAAATATAGGAATCTGGAATTCACAGTATAAAGGGCAAGAGCCCTTTATTGTACATTAATAAAAATCAATGTAACCTCCTCAGTAATCAGAAACAGGGGAGAAAACAGAGGATCCTGTGACCCAGCCAACACAATGGATATATTACCAGCTGTAGGGCCATGGAGAGGTGAGAATGACAACTTCTGTGTGTAGCACTAGAAAATGTTCCAAATGGCATGGTCACACCTATCAGTCCAATAAATGAAAGGGTACTGGACAGATGAAGAAACAAAATGATGGGGTTAGTGAGGCTGAAGGAGGCAGCTGTCAGAGCTGCTGCACTGAGTATGAAACACTAAGGAGGAAATCCTCTGAGTCAGGTGATGAAAAAGAAAAAAAAAAAAGGTCAGTGAGAGTAGAATCTTAAACTTCCCTTTCATTGTCTCCTCTCTCCCTCTCCTCCCCATTTGCCCTCTTCCCTCTCCTTTCCTACACGCACACATATATGGTCACAGATACCATGATAGCTGGCAGCTCGCAGTACAGCTGAGAATAGCGTACACTTAGGAGTGTGCTCTCAGCTATCAAGAACAATACAGTTGCTTTGCTTTTGAAGTGCTGTCAGTCAAACAAAAAAATATCAAAAGTTTCAACAGTAATTAATGATTTTTGGTCTCTCAAATTTTTATGACAATCTTGAGATCCCTTTTAAGGGGCCTGATTTTTTAAAAGGTAAGTCTTTAGTGCAGTCTATTATTCACATAAAATGTCTTAGCTTTAGCTTTCAAATCACTAATCACTTTTGAAAATCTTAACTATGCTATCCATCTGTAAGCTACACAAATCATTGGTCTTAAAAATACAGTCTAACCAAAACAAAGCATAAATTAAGAAAACTCTTTTCCTATTAAATTAGGAAACTGTCAACTGATCTGTCCACGACTAATATGTCGATGTAATTTTCAAATACACTGCAAACAGTCACACATGCATTTATATAGTCCTATATGGTATATTTTTAATTAGTGGGTAGCATAGCAATTAGTGGCAGCTGAGTGTGGAAAATATGTAAGATTAAGTGAAAGGTTATATGTAAAAATATTGACACATTCAGGTGAATTAAATGTGAAAGAATATCTTTACATGGAAAACTTAATTATGGTGACACTAATTAATGCAGCTTCCTGTGACACTTGAAAACCACATTCCTTAAATAATGCATCTGAGGTTGCACATCAATTTAGATACTGTCTGAACATTAGTTTGTGGTATTGTTGAGGTCTAAACGTGAGTCTGACCTACATAGCCATTTGTCCAAACCTGTTAAGCCTAATATTAATAATTCAGGGCAGATCAGTATGTTTCCACAAGACCAGGGGTAATTAAAGTAACCTTGATTTCCTTTTGTAGATTCTTTGCCATCCCTTTCTCCTTACCCATCCCACTCTCTGAATAACAAATGAATGCTGATGTCACATTGTCCAGAGAAATGCTTATATGGAAATTTTATTCAAAGATTGTTAATATATTTTAAAATGCGTTCAAAGTCTTTCTTATTCCATTTAACTGTAGTTTTTGCAGCAAGGGGCCAAATAGATGTATATATTTATACAAAATGCAGACACGTTGGGATGAAAACTCTAAACTGGATCACCTACTCCTCCTGTTTCTTTCAATTTGTGCAACAGCTATGGTATAATTCTCTATATATCTTTTCCAGTGACAGTGCTTGCTGTGAACAGTGGGGGTTGAACCCCAGAGGAGACATATCATGTGTACATTGATGTGTTTGAAGGAATTTCTTGTAATCTATGACAATTGACAAACTTTTGATTTATTTTTCCTCTTGCTGCCTTGGAACACGGCCCCTACTATATTTTAACTGCACACTGATAGTGATCTATTGTGAGTAAAAATGGGTTCCCTGTAGCCCAGAGTGCGGTCCAACCTGTCTTTCTCTAGCAGAGAGTATTTTTGTTCAGTATTTTGGTTCTTTTATTTATTTATGTTGCATGTAGCAGTGACGTCATACGCACAAGTTTCTCATCGTTTACACCCACGGAGATTAGGGTGACGTTGAAGAAAATACAGCAGTTCTCCCCTCTTCCACATTTTTACTCCTCTTTTCTCCACAACCTTATTTTTTATCCCTATTTGAAAATGAGATCTTGGCAATGGCATTTCCTTGAAATAATTAGAGAGATATCTCCTGAATCTTCAGGGATATTGGCTAGGCTGGGGTAATTACCAATGTAGCACTGTTTGCCTAGTTAAGTGCAATTCATTGTCAGACCTGTGTTCAGTTTTTTTGTTCTTTGTCTTTTCTATTGCATAGCTGACACAAAGAGCAACACAATAGTCTTTTACTGTCTTTTCTAACTCCTTTCTCCCCATCAGAAAAAATAAAAAAAAGCAATGGGGATAAAGACAGACAATGAATTAAATGTGTGGCTTAACTTTAATGTATAAACCTTCAGATGTCTTCAACAGGAAACAAGCTACAATGGTTATTTTCCCCAACTTGCTTGTTTTTAAATTAATTACATAAGTAAAGCCATACTGACTTTTCAGGACCTAAGCTGTAAAGATTTACATTATAACTTTATATAGAATATGAACTTTATAGACCATTTCATGTCAATCTAAGTCATACCACTTTAAAGGATACAGAATCTATGAAGGCTCTCGTCAGTCACTTTTAGTGTGTACAGTTGTGATAATTTAAATAAACACAGCATTTGGGACATGGAAAGTATTTGCTGCTTAGAAATAAAAGCACTGCAAAGAAATGTGGTGGTTATAGGGCAGTGTTGGGATTATATGGTCTTGCCCTTTCAAAGAGCAAGAGGGATCGGATATTTCATAGCTGCAGTGAGGCATTGTTATACCAGATTGAGGCTGTTAGCCATACTGTATAACTGCAGCTATTTTAAATAAGTGAGGCTATGAGACTTTTTCAACAGATATCAACCAGATATTCTGAATTTATTGTATGATAACACTTAAGGTCTTAATCAGGATTGAGGTATTTTTCCCCTCTCAGCTGTACATACCATAGGATCTTGCAAAGAATCTAGGAGAAGTTGGAACTCCTGGAGTTGCAGGGTGAAGTGCTAGCCATCTTGGAATTGTGATGGACTTCATTATTATTAACATTATTTACTATTTATCTTATTGTGGTCCCTGCAAACTCCACTAAAAGACTGAGATCTCATTGTGGTAGAAATCATTCAGAGAACATAAATTTCTCCAAAGATCTGTTTTCAGCTATTAGAATGACAAAGCAGAAAGATGGGGCAGCACAGAAAAACAGGTTGTGAAACAGATCAGCATGATAAGAATCAATACTAAATAATAATTCAGAAAGAAATTTATTTCTATGGATAAAATAATGAATCCTATTGACTTTGAGGCAAAACACTGAAAGTGATTTGGGTTTATTTGAAGCAATGTACTTATTTTGAATATGTTTCTATGTTGAGGCCTTCTGGACCAGAGAAATTAGTTTAAAGTGTAATAAATAATCAAATAAAAGAGCTCATCTTGCTAAGAGAGTATCAAAAAAGAGAAGATCTTGTAGCTTTGACTTGGTATTTTTTCCATTTCCCCAGTAGCTTCAGTTTGTTCAGAAATGTGGTTAGCTTTGAGAGTACACTGGCTGAGAGTCTTCTTTAAGGTAATAAAGGAAAGGCCATGATCATATTTGAAAATTAAAATGAATTGGTCTATAAACGTGCCATTACTTCAAAATCTGTGAGTCATTCTTCTAGCTACTAAAATAGAGCAAAATGTCCATTCAGGACACCTGCTGTTTCTACAGTTTTGACAAAGAACAGCACTATATGAATTATAGCAAGCAACTAACCCATTGACTTTGATTGCAAAGATTGCAAGATAGTGGACAAACTGACTTGGTGGCCTTGAAGTTGTTCTGTAAAAATTAAATAGTGTAGAGATAGCTTTTCCTGTTGTGTTAAGAGAAAATAAATTCCCACAAACAGTTTAAGATATGCTGCTGTATTTTTCATAAAACTGAAATTGTGCTGGGAGAAGTCCTTTCAGTATTTCAGTCTCATGATGCTAACCAGCATTGCTAAAAGACAATCAAACCAGTCTGGTCATCCTTTAATGCTGCTGTTATTTTACTATTAGTGTGGATCATGAGAACTTGATGGATTGAAATGACACTGTTTGCATTTCAATTCTTAAGTGTAGTGGGATCTTTATTTACCATTTGCTGGTCAAGAAACCCGAGTTCTTCTTAACCAGCTGTTATCTCATAGAGATCCACTAGATGTCCTCGTAGATCTACTTTTTGTTACCGTTCCGGTCACAAGTGAAACTGCTATAGTGATGGATGGAATCACGAGGATTAGGGTAGACTGTATGGTTTAATAAAAAAATCAGCAGAGATGAAGAAATACTTTGTTCTACTTGCCTTTTTTTTTTGTTAATAAAAGGAGCTGTTCCTTGACATCTAAGGTAGAGAATAATCTGCAGTTTCCTTTGCTCATTTTTGCAGCTGGAAATATTTCCCATTACTGTTTGTGAACACTAAGTAACATCTCAGATCCAGACAATCTAGAAATTTTGACTGAACTTTTTCAGGTTTTTTAGGTCAGGAAGCAAGGTGTTGCTAGAAGCTTAGACATCTAAGGCACATTCCTTCCTTATTAGAATGGAAGGCTATTATTGCCTTCTGAGAAAATTTGCAACAAAAAAATATTTTTAAAGTATTTATTTACTCTATAAATAATCGACAAAAATTTTACTTTCTGTTTACTCTTAAATTAGAAAACGAATAGTTCATATATGCCTTGTTTTGTCAGTAAATTATTTAAGTAGTCTGATTTCCATGCCCATAATAACTTCCCCTGAAATTTTTACTAATTCATTTTACAAATGCTGTGGGATTGTCATTATTCTAGGTGGAAGGATCTGTTCTTCCTTTTTGTCCATTTATTATTCAATTAAAAATAGGGAATTAATTTCCCTTATGTCCCAACTTACCTTTTCATTAGTTGCAAATAACAGTTATATTCAACATCCATAACATTTCTATGAATAGAAATGAGTTGATTCCTATTCAGGTGCTACAGGTGTGAAATGAATTTAACACCCACCCAGAGGCTGTTCTTAAGGTCCCCCTGTCTCTCTGATTATTCCCATTTTTTGTTGATGTTTATGGAAGTTTTCTAGGAGATGGTATGTGTGTGGATGAACCATTTAAAATCATTTCTGTCTTGTCTTTGATCTTGTCACTGGTCATCCCTACTAATAATCCATGTGTTGTCTTATTTAAAAGAGAATAAGTATTGTATTTGGTATGAATGTAACAATGACTGTATAAAAGGAATGAAGAGTAACAGCATGTTTTCTTTCACAAATATATTGCTCTGATATGCAGTTGCTTATATAATGGTTGAAACCCTTATAGCAAGTCCTTTTTGCTACTTATATTTCCAGGTCTAAGCCTGTTTCCTGCATGTTAATGATGTGGAATATTAAAATGATGCATGATCTCCAGAACAACTCATAATAGTAGTTAAAAATAGTCCCTGAAAGGTCATTGCTTTTGGGAAACACCATGGTGTCCTTCCCCTATTGAACAGAAGGGCTTAAATTTCCCACTTCATTGGTTTAAGTCTGATGAAAACGGTACAAAAAGTTTTCCTTCCCAACACTCTTTGCCCTTAAGTATGATTTCTTTTCATTTTTATAAATGTGTCCTATCCTATTACTGACTGTTGACAAGATATGGCTACAAGTAAAATAAAAACCAGGGACTGTTACTAACCAATGACATAGCAGTTGAGAATTTCAGAGTAGTGTGTTTTACTACAGCATTTGATTAGAAAAAGTCCTTCAAAACAGCTATAATTAAAACAAAATGAGACTGGCTTTTACCTCACTTACTGTTAGTGTGTCTCACAAATGCCCTTTATTTTTCTTTCATTTCCTTAAAGTGAAAATAAAAAAGGCAAAATGGAAAGACTTCCATATTTTTGGTAGCATATTTCACTTTTTCTGCCCAACTTTTCAATTTTAAAGAATGTGTTGGGAAGAGTTAGACAGAGGGGAACCGTGGGAAAATGAATGCTGTTTTGAATTTTCTGTATAGTTTGAATGTGTGTGCATCAAAAGCTGCAGTGGAAACCTTCTTACTAAAAGCCAAGCTCTGAGGAATGATGTACCATGCAATGAACAAGCCTGATGCTGCATGATGACTTTCTGAACAGCTATAAGATAACTCTACTAGGATGCTAAAAGAACATGACATTAGTCATGTGAGCAAAGTTTTAGAGGAATGGAGTCGCTGCTGAAGAGATCACTCATTCATCTTCCTCAATGCCTGTTTTCCACAATCATAATGTTACCCTTGCTTGAAATGTATACCGTATGGCAAGTCATCAAGGCCTTAGAACAGGACTTGACCCATCTGAGAGATTTCAATCCCTCTTCCTGGTGACTGTGGCATTAAGAAACTGGGGGGGAAAGAAAAAAAAAGTTAAATTTAATGTCATTACCATAATACGAAAAAGACATCCTAAACTGAAGGTGCAGGCCACAGAAACATTACCTTTTTCTGCATTTGCTTTTAAGGTTTTGTTTTTGCCTGTCAGTGTTCTGTTTTGTTTTTAGTATAATTGAGTCAGTTCAATCTAAACCATTACCAAAAGTGTTGGTTCAGTGCAACATGTGAAACAATCTAACTGGCCTTTGCATTTCTTCAGACTTGAATGTACCTGTGATTCAGGTAACATACAAAATTGCACAATGGTAATTACACATGTGTTTATAAAATAGGACGCTGTATATTTCTAGAAATACAGAATGTGGACATTCCTATGACTGAAGAATATACATATTCTGTTCTAACCTGGCACTACTTTTGAAATTAGCCCCTAATTCTACATTTGGTTATTTTGTTTCTCAATCTACCTTTGAATCCAGAGCAGAAAACATGCCAATGATTGATTCAGCAGGTTTCAATGGACCAATGCTCTGTGTGCTTTTGGTGATGCCTTATTTGTGAACTGATTTTAATGTCGAGCATATTTACCATTATTAATTGTGTCTCCTATATGGGCAAATTTTGGTATTCTGTCAAGAGTTAATTTGAGTTCCTGAAGATATAATGTAAAGGAAGTAAATTTTTCAGAAAATTTTATGACCATCTTGTAACACTTCAGTTTTGTGTAATTTATTGCAACAATGGAGTTCCCTGGCACAGTTTAATACAAAGAAATTATTAGCATATGTTTAAAAATATATATATTTATATATATGTATATAGATGCATGTATGTGTATAATGTGTATGTGTGTGTGAGTGTATGTATGTAAGAATATATGTATATGTGTGTTTTTGTGTGTATATGCATACATATATATATATAGATATATAAATGTCTTTGATTTTTACAGGAAGCAGAACAGGCCAAAAATATCTAATAGATTAGCAAGTCTAGATTTTTCATTTTAACCTGGTATTAATTGTGCCAAGGGAAAAATATATTTTTAGGACTCTGCATTTACCATGTTCTTTTTTTATCAAAACACTTGACTGTAAACAGTAATTCTTCCCTTTGTCTGCGGTCACCCTATAAGACTGAAAAGAAATAAAGAGCAATTTATCTTTTGCCCTACTTTTAATGTACAGCCAAAGTGTTATCAGTAATCTCATTGCATTTTTTTTCCTGGGTCAAGACTGTTAACATAAACTAAGGCCTGTGTTAAATCCCTTAAATTACCTTCCAGCTGCCTTGTTATATATATAACCTTGCCATTAACCTGCTGCTCTTCCTCTCCTCCCATCCAACACATGGTTATAGCCAAGATGTCCATCTACAAGAGAATGAAACTGGCATGTTGTTTTGATTGCGGACGCTCTGAGCGTGACTGCTCTTGCATGTCAGGCAGTGTACATAGTAACATGGACACCCTTGAGAGAGCCTTCCCACTTTCTTCTGTCTCTGTTAATGATTGCTCCACCAGTTTACGTGCCTGTAAGTTTTAACACCAACACATGCTGTTCCATGTCTGTGGTGTCTGTGGTATCATCCCCGTCTTGTGTCGTACATTGTAATTCTGTGAGTTTTACTGGGCTGACGCTTTTTTAAAAAGTCAAACCCAAATTTTAATACAGCTCTGTATTTATATTTCTGTTCTAATTTATTTTAATACAAAACCCCTAATTTATTGTTTTCCTTTGTGTGCTCTATATGAAGCATGCTCTTGCAATAGCATGCAGGACCTTAGTGGTGCAGTTTGGTGACATCTCTTTTATTTAATTAATACAATATAAATTGTCATTAATTAAACAATAAGTGCTTCAGTGGAGGAACAGGCCTACGTATAAATCTGTGGTGCTAAGTGGACAGCTTTAATAGTGCTGGCACCAGAGCAGCTTGCAATAAGCAGTGAATAAATACACAAATTTAGTAGCTGAACTGTAGTAGCTGGAATTCTGGTCTATCCTGCTACCATTATCTTTAGTTTTGTCTGTAACCTTTCATTCTCAATACAATAGGACCTTCTGTCTAATACTGAAACTGCAGAAATCTTACTGAAAAAGGTTGTACCTTTTGCAGTGCTTTTTTAGAAGGTCCAGCCTAATGAAAACTTCCTAATGCAAATTTTTTGAAATTAACTGTACAATCTGTCCCATTGGACAGTACCATTCTGTAATATGCCCTGAAAGCTCTTTTGAAAGATCAGAGTTGAGAGGGAGAAGACAAAGATGGGAGAACAATTCTTCACTGCCATTAATTCTTTGGGCAACCGATAGGGATTCTAAAGCTTCCTTTATCAGGGTGATGTCAACAATTGTGAAAAATTGTTAAATAAAATGGTGATTATTTTTTTTTCATTTTCTTATCCTCTTTAGATGTTTGTAACAGGCAAAACTGTATCTTGGGACAGGAACTGTTTTCTTTTCCCTACCCAAATGGCAAAGAAGAACTATAAAATTATTCAGATACTTCTATAAAGACTATTAGGAGTTTTGATCAGGAAGTATGTCCTGCTTTACATTACAAGTCATCACAGATAAAAATGTCTTCCACTGCTAAGAGTATGATGTAGTTAGTAGAGTATGCATCTGGTTACCTTTTGATACCATATGTGTATTACAGTATATAGTCCAAGTGGTGAATGACTTTGCTTTATCTATTCTGACATTTGAACTGTTTTTCCAGACACAAATGTGGAGTATATAACAATGCTGTGATTTTTGTTAGCATTTTTTGTCTGAAGACTGTGTCAATTGAACTGATTCTAATAGGATTTCTTAGAGATGTTACCTCCTCTGATTCTCTGTATATGTGTATAAGCACTCTGAATGTCCTTTTTATCTACTTTGTTACAACTCATGCATCGCCTCAAGGAAGATGGTGCCCAGTTTTAAGTCCTATTCTAAGTTACAGGAGTTTTTATCCTTTAAAGATACCTTTATCAGAGTAGAACATAGCAAAACATATTTTGTTAAGAAAAGTGAACAAGAAACCTTCCTGAATTGAGAATTACTGCAGGCAGTGTTACTTAAACAGCCCAACAGCCTCAGTAACACAGAGCCTGGTATAGTTTGCACTAATACAAACTCGTACAGAGACAGTGTGGTTGGGTCCCAGCACTGGGGGTAACAGCAACCAGACCAGGCTAAATGCATATGTCCCCTACAAATGGGTAAAATTTCTGCCATATTAGCACTGTTTGGCAAGGAAAGAAAAAACATAATTTGTAGATTTATCATAGCTTTCCAGTTCACTTAAGACTCTACAGAGGCAGATAAAGTAAACATTTTTGATTGTTTTGCCTGCTGAGCCAAAAGCCTCCGCAATAATGGTATTATTCCTACCAAAACCAATACCGTTGAGATACATGCTAGATCTATGTTATGTTTTAAAGGGTAAGTGATATTGACAGCTTTGAGGATTTTTAGCATCCTATCTTTCAAGGGCCTTTTCCACCCTTCATCACTCCATCAAATCAAAAGAGATCTCACTCTTCCCCTTGTGAAACTAGTCACCTTTTTCTGTTAATAATAAGTACGAAAATCGATACCAATTCACACACTTTGCAAAGCAACATAAGCCTTTCTTTTCCAATTAAAATATATATCTATATACACATGCAACGTTTCACTGGCAAGGCTTCAATAGAAATCAGTGTGTTTTCTTTGCAGTGCACAGGGGTTGCATGATACCCATCTTGACAGAGCTAGTTAACTCAAAGAATGGCGGTGAGAGTCAGCTTTTCATTAAATATGAGCAGATGTGAAATGTAGAGTGTTTGACAATTAGAAATGGCAGCAGCAGGGCCCCAGAATCAAAGTGAGGTCAGATTTGTGGATCAGATTACCTCTCTTACATTCTTTAGTTGTTCTGAAAATCATTTTGAATTAGTGTCAGTGGAGCCATGATGGGTTTTGCCCTTTGTCTTTTATGCTAGGACTGTATTGTTTCCCCAGACACTCATTAAAGGTCATTATACTATTACAGGGCTTGCTTTGGTCGTAGTGCCCCAGTTGGGTTGGTTTGCTTCTACAATTGCTTAATGCATTTCTTTCTTTCTTTCCTTTTTTTTTAAAAAAAAAACAACCCTTTTTGTTATAAAAGCAGGCTTTTTTTCTGAAGGTAAATAAAATCACAGAACTTTGTATGAAATTCTTGAAACAATGAGTAGCTTTTGTAAGAATTAATGCTGTTTTTAAGAAACTGATGTCAAGTAGAAGATACGATGTTACACAGGATTTAGTGTACTAATTGCAAAATATGTAGAGAAAGTGATCAGTTTTTCTATTATTATACTGTTGCCTGTACTCCAGCAAATGAAAATCATAATTTGATTAAACGTAATTACATTAAAATAGCTTTTGAGTTTATAGGCAGCTGTCTGGAAAAAAAAATATATGATCTTTCTAAATGTAAGAAAATAGAATTTTAGATTTTTTGTGTGTGTCTCGATTTTTTGGAAGTTTAGCTGCTTTTGGTAGACGGCTACATGAATAGCAGTCAGATCGTCCAAGCATTTTTTTATACTGGAGACTCAAGTGAATTAGAGAGAAGTGACACACTTAGCCTCTGAAAAATCTGGACTGGTTTATACAGTGAAATTATGTTGCTAATAAGTGTGACGTTTCTGCTTAGGTCTGTGCCAAATTTTGGGGAGACCCATTCAAATGATTAATTGATAGAGACAGAATCTTAACCTGAACCATTTAATTTCGGTGTTTCTGTGTCACCATCCGGCTGCTGCTTCTCAGGAACATCAAAAGTATGTACCAAAAGAAAACCCTTTCCGAGCTTGTCGCTGTGCCCACTGCCATGGGAATCTAAACTTCCAAGGACATTCTTGATGCTAGGCCCAGGCATATCTAATTCAGCTTGTGAGAAAACATTTTTGGCATGCTCTGATAGTTCTGAGAAGCTTTGTATGAAGACTTTGACTTTGGTGAATATCAGGATTCTCAAATGAGAGAGAGACAAAAAACAAGACTAATGAACACTATATTTTGAATTCAGGGTTCAGCCCAAACTCTTAGCCATCATATTTGGAAAAAAAAGGCCATGCTAACACAAGCTGGAGAAAGCTTAACTTTTGAAAGTAGCTGAAGCTACTTGTATGCCAAGCCCAGTTTAAAACCATACAGCCTGTCTGGTCTTCCAGTGCCATCACATGGCTTATGCTGAACAGACAGGCTTATACCTGAACATGGCTTATGCTGAACAGAATTTAGCTATTGAGTATTTTTCAATGGACCTAAAATTTCATTCTGCAAGATTAGATGAACATTTTGGGTAGCTTGAATAGGAATGGTTGTTGAACCAAGGTTGGTACACTGTTCTGAAGGTGTCTGGCTATGGGATTTGGCAAGTTAGGTCAAGGAACACTCTAGCTGCTTCATTGACCTGTGTTACTTAGAGCAATGTGGATCCTGCCTGTATGTCTTTACAACTTAAAAAATCAAATTCTGAAATGAGAGTTGAAATGACGTGTCACTGATTTATCTAGAGAGAAGAATGCATAACACACACATTGCACAGTGCATCTAGAATTCATCAGCTCTATAACTATGCTTGGGTTTTTCTAAATGAGTTGACTATCAAGTCCTGCATTGTTTATTTACTGGCTGAAAAGTGTAGTCTTTGTTTCTCCTAGAATGCAGGAACCATTATCTTCTACTTTCTACAGAACAAAACTAATCTACTACT